CATAATTCCAACACAGCCCTGACCAATCCGCATCTCCTCATAGAAATGAATTGAATCAATGAATCTCTGAGGAAAGTTCAGTGTCTGCATGCAGACGGAGGAGACACTGAATGTGTGGATGCATTTTAGGCAGCCATGACACAGGAAGAATCTCTAACAGCCATCTGAGTTATCTTAAGTTATCACTAGGCTGTAATGTTAACACTGCATTTTATCTGAAAAGACGGTGTTTACAGCAAAAAGCCTGAAGCTAATGATTCTACACACCAGAACAAATTCAATAAGCTGTAGTTGTTCTGGTGAATGTAGTGACCCTTTAACTGCCCCTCATAAAAATAATTTTGCAGTCCTGTCCCTTCCACAGAGGACTTTTTCTCAAACCTGATCTCCTATACCCAGATAGCGTATCTCCAATGAGCGCTTCTCCCTAGACTTGTAGTGTTTGAGGAAAGTACAAGGTTTTATACACAGACCCCCAGCATGGGGTCTCACATATGGTATCCACAGAAAGTTGGTCTTCGAGCCCTCAATCCTGGAGAATAGCGGGAGGATGCCTGCTAAGTTTAGGGAGGCAACTAGAGTGACTGTAGGTCCCTTAGAGTTAATGTTTGTGGTTTCTGACACCTGGTATGAACAGAAACGTGAATATATCTGTTAAAAACCAGAAGAAGTTTGTGTTCTATTTTAAGAGCTAAATTGAATAGGTAAAGAATTTCCTCATAGAAGCTCTCTTGGGACAGATAGAAGTGCCAGACTATCTGTTGGTTAGTATATATAAAGCTTGTTTGTAGTCTTATTTTTTATATGTACAGTTGTGCTCAAAAGGTTGCATAACCTAGCAGAAATCGTGAAATTTTGGCATTGCTTTTAAAAATGACTGAACATACAAAACATATTTTATTGAAGGATAGTGATCATATGAAACCATTTATTATCACATAGTTGTTTGGCTCCTATTTAAATCATAACAGAAATCACCCAAATGGCCCTGGTTAAAAGTTTACATACCCTTGAATGTTTGGCATTGTTACAGACACACAAGGTGACACAAAGGTTAAAATGGCAATTAAAGATTAATTTCTCACACCTGTGGCTTTTTAAATTGCAATTGGTGTCTGTATAGTCAATGGGTTTGTTAGCTCTCACATGGATGCACTGAGCAGGCTAGATACTGAGCTATGGGAAGCAGAAAAGTACTGTCAAAAGACCTGCGTAACAAGGTAATGGAACTTTATAAAGATGGAAAAGGATAAAAAAAGACAGAGAAACTGGAATAGAGCCAATGCCTAGTACACTAAAAGATGTAGGGTAACCCCCAAATGGGAAACTAATAAGCAAGGAAAAGTGAAACGGTAGGGACTGGGATAAATTGTACCCTGATAAGAGTACCAGCTAGCTACAGGATAAAACCATGAAGTAGCTACCCGACCTGGAAAAGTAATACCTTTTTGAAATTTTTTTTTTTTATTGAATATAATAGAATAAAAACTGGGTGCTCGTGTACAAAGGTCAACAAAAGTAAAACAGTAGCAACTTTTTATTTCTTTTATATCTTAATATACATTACAATATTGCTAGCAATATCACTTTCAATGGAGAAATCTCATCTCTTATCTGTAATATTAACAAAGAGCATAAACAGGATTCTCCAATATAAACAATTATAGGTCTCTGACCACGCGTCTATAAAAGTAATTTTACAAACTGAATAATTAATAACTACATAAGCTCAACAGATCTACCTACACTAGTTAAAAATTGACTCCACGTAAATAAATATATAAAACTTCACACGTTTTGAAATTTCCTGGAATGGGTTAATCTGTTACACTTAAGGAAGAATTCCAATACGTCATTCAAGTATTTTAAACTAACCAATCAGAAATTTTTACATTGAACCAATGAGATGGAATCTCCTCCTATTTCAACTCCGTGCTCTGTACCGGCTGGTTCCCTTCTGAGAAGCCAGGTCGGCCAAAACGCGTGCGTCAAGGGGTCCTTGCAGTGCTACTCTGATCTGGGGTTAGCACACGGACTTGCCGCAGCGCTTAGGTTTGATTTTTCCACTTATCCACCTCGCGATCATGCTATATTTTTGTAGGGATCATGGTTTAATAGCCTAGCCGGACAAGCAGTAGGTGCCTTCCAAGGGACGGGAGGGAAGCTGTTAAGTTTTTAAGTGAACTGTATGTGGGAATTTATTTAAGTGCCCATCAAGGCACTGTCCTATTAACTCGTTATCTAGTGAGTTAGTTGAATCTGTTACCGCAGCAGTGTAGTATCTTATACCTATACCTGCCAAGCTTGGTAACGATTAAGCAAGTACGGGTATATCACTCCTCAAAATCTCGAGAGTGAGAACGGTGATAGACACCGGATCAGCTACGGCAAAGTTCTTATTGCAGTCACCGAAACCAGTATGGTTGGAGCACTCATCAGTTCAGCATCATTCCCACCTTTACCCATTGGCATAATAAGATTACAGGTTTAAATTGAGATATACTAGTAGAGTCTCATTGGGCTTTGGCCCCTTATTATTTTGCCTCTCATATTTTTCTTTTCTTTTCGCTCACCCCCTCCCCTCATTTTTACTGCTATGCTATTTTCCAGCTTACCGCATCACACTAATATACCTAGGCACAGATGCGTGCATGGTAATACCTATATCTGGTTTTGCTCTATAGCTCACCATGATACCAAAACAGGTTGTGTTTTTACTTAACTCTCACCAGTCTACAACGGAGTATTAATCTATTGCTATTACTTATAAGTTCCTAGTCTGGTAGCTACTTCATGGTTTTATCCTGTAGCTAGCTGGTACTCTTATCAGACCAGTCCCTACCGGTACACTTTTCCTTGCTTATTAGGATATAAAAAGATATCCAAAGCCTTGAAAATGCCAGTCAGTACTGTTCAGTCACTTATTAAAAAGTGGAAAATTCAGGGATCTCTTGAGGTCAGGTAGACCAATAAAGATTTCAGCCACAACTGCCAGAATAATTATTTGGGATACAAAGAAAAACCCACAGGTAACATCAAGAGAAATACAGGGTGCTCTGGAAAAAGACGGTGTGATTGCTTTAAGGAGCACAATACAATACTTGAACAAAAATGAGCTGCATGGTCAGGTTGCCAGAAAGAAGCCTTTACTGCACCAATGCCACACAAAACCCTGTTACATATATGCTCCACAACACCTTGACAAGCCTCACAGCTTCTGTCATATTGTAATTTGGAGTGACAAGACCAAAATAGAGCTTTATGTTCGCAACAAGGCCTATAGTGAAAAGAATACCATCTCCTCTGTGAAGCATGGTGGTGGCTCGCTAATGTTTTGGGGGTGTGTGAGATCTAAAGGCAAGGGAATCTTGTAAAAATTGATGGCAAGATGAATGCAGCTTGTTTTCAGCAAATACTGGCAGACTATTTGCATTTTTCTGCATTAAGGCTGCGCATGAGATGCTTTTGGACTTTCCAGCATGACAAGGCCTCCAGTGGTTACAGCTAAAAAAGGTGAAGGTTCTGGAGTGGCCTTTAATATCGAGCCATTCTGGGATGATCTCAAACATGCGGTTCATGCAAGACTACCAAAGACTTTACATGACCTGGAGGCATTTTGCCAAGACCAATGGGCAGCTGTACCACCTGCAATAATTAGGAACCTCATAAACAACTATTATAAAAGACAGCATGCTGTCATTGATGCTAAAGGGCAATACACCATATTAAGAACTAAGGGTATGCAGACCCTTGAACAGGTGTCATTTCATTTTCTTTGTTGCTCTATTTTGTTTTATGATTGTGCCATTCTTTTATAACCTACAGTTGAATATAAATCCCATAAGAAATAAGTGTTTCGCCTGCTCACTCATGTTTTCTTTAAAAATGGTATACATATTACCAATTTTACGTGACCGGAGGCTTCATATTTTGCATAAACTGTGAAATAAAGGTGAAATAAAGAACCAATCAGAACACAGAGTGTATATACGTGAAAGCGCATCCAGATCACTTCCTCTTTCTTTGCTGCGCCATCACAAGACAGGTCAGAGTACAGATTCTAAATTGTTTTAATTGTGCATTTTACAACTGTTCTACATTGTATGATTCAGTTTTCCTGTGGGGGTAGCAGGGGATATCTTTTATTTTAACATATTTAGTGGGACTATTATCTGTTGGGGGTTCTGTCCCCTCTCTCCACAGGCCCTCTTTTCCCTGAGGCGACCTTTACTTACCCCTCCCCCACCCTTCCTGGTGGCTACGTTCGCCACTTTCATTAGATTTCCTGTGCTGTTCGCACTGAATTCAGTGCGCGAACAGACAGGGCATTCACTTGGTTTGTGCATTTCGGCATGAACGGCCCGTTCGCAAGGTTTCCCGTTTGGGTATTTGCACGATCCACTATTCGTGGATCTCTGTTCGCCGAGTTCCAACCACAGTATACGTTCGGCAGTTCGTTCGTCAAAATTCTGCCAACCGCGTGCATTCTTTCCTTGACGTTCACCTGTTTCCCGCAAACACCTTTCACTGGCTTTTCTGTGCCAGTTAGCCCGGTTCTTGAGCGATCTGTGGCGGGCATTTTGTTGGTGTGTTTTATGGTGGATGTTAACTCTCATCAAGAAGAGGCTCTCGGCGTTGGAAGCTTGCAAATTGCAATCCAGCAGTGGTGATCTGCATATTGTCACAGGGACCTTTTCAGGTTGGTGTACTAACCCCTGGGCAGTGGGACTGCCAGTCAGTTATTCCCTAGTAATCTGGCAAGTGGTGAGCCCCCATTTGTGTAATTCCCAGAGTGCTGCTTAGCGGAATCTGTTGAAGTAATTCCGATCTCCTGCGTGAGCCCCAGTGATTAGAAGAGTCTGCTTTACCACGCCATTAGGCTGTGTGTAGCCTACTGACTTTTTTTTCACATCCCTCCCAACCGGTCCCTCTACCGCTCATACCTGTGCTTGTTAGTGTTAGTATTCCAATAACATGGGAGATACACAGACCTTCAGGCCATGATCAATGTGGCGGTGGCTGCATCCCTGGAAAAAACTATGGCAAAAGTGCTCCCAGCTGCCTCAAGTCGGTTACTACCCATGGCAGGGAAGACTCAAGAGTCCGATGACTCCTCCAAAGAGAGGACACACCCGGCAAAACATCATTGGAAGGGCGAGGATTCCAGAAAAGTAAGCGTTTACCTGGGATGATTCCTTGGACGAGGACAAAGATATGCCCCACTCCCTCTCCATCTTGGATGAATGGCAGGCAGAGATCTCAAACTCCGACGAAGGCGATTGGGGCTCCAACACCTATGTCAGGGAGACTTTTCTGGGTGAGCCCCAGAGTAAAGGAGAATGCGGAAACTACTACAATGTCCGCTACTCAGGACCAGGAGGTTTTTCTAGATGCCACGGGTCAGAGGATGTTCAACCCTAGAAATATGACACCACCGCCCCGGGGATTGGGCTCCTCCAGAACACCTTAAGTTCATGCACTTCTGGATCCCCAAACACGTCTGCAAACTGATGAGGGCGGAATGCCCCATGCCATCCCTCCCCGGATACGGTGGAGTTCACGCTGGAATTTGACCAGCTCATGCTGGCCTTTATGGAACGAGGTGGTCGCGACCCTCCCAGAAGGAGTTGAATAAACAGGTGAACATGTTCACCTCTTTGAACAGGGCCCACACCTCCATGCGCAAGGCCTTTCGAGGTAACCCTTTCAGGGGTGTTTTTTCCAGGGCTGGTCGGCAACGAGGCCGTGCCACCAGCCGATTTTTGCCCATCAGGCCACCGAATGGGACACCCCCCGCAGTTCTATCCACAACAATTCTACCCGAGAACGGGCACGAGACAATACCCCTAATACCAAAAGGGACCTACGTTAACCATGACTTCTGGCCATATTTCATTTTTTATTTTATTTTTTCAGAATTTGGAAAAACTGTCCACAGATGCATGGGTGTTAGACGGTCAAAGGTTACAACATAGAACTACAGACTTTATCCATACAGAAGCTTCTCCGCCATGGACGCTCATCTTAAAGAATTGGAGCGCAATCTAATCCGCGCTCGGACGAGGGGGATTCTTCAGCAACATGTTTCTCGTCCGCAAGAAAACCTGAAACTTCAGGCCAGTGATCAATTTGAGGGAACTAAACGCTCACGTTACATACTGTCACTCGTAGTAATCCACTTCCTACGAGACCTCCTACAAGAAGGGGACTGGTTTACGCGTCTAGACCTCAAAGACTCATACCTGTCGATCCCAATTCACAAAGACAGTCGTCCTTTCCTTCAGTTCCTATGGCAAGGTTTCCCACGACAGTTCTCTTGCCTCCCTTTCAGGCTCAGCTCTGCACCATGGTGTTTCACAAATTTGCTGAAACCGGTGGTAGCCCATCTCGGAACACAAGGGATCCGATGCATCATTTACCTGGACGACATGCTCCTGTTTTGCAGAACGAGCGACCTGGCATCACAACATACTGATTCTACGGTACAATTATTGGAATCTCTGAGATTCATTGTCAACAGGGCCAAGTCCACACTGACTCCCACTCAAACAATTCAATTCTTGGGCTTCGAAATAGACTCCCGGTCCGGCACGCTCCACCTCCCGTCTTCCAAAGTGACGGCCATCAGGAAAGAGATCGGCAGGGTGCTCAAGTTCAATTCCATCCCGCTCCGACAGCTAGCTCAGATCATTAACCTACTTTCCGCATTCCAAGCCATATTTCCAGGCCCTCTGCACTACCGTACCATGAAACGGCTGAAGACTTTCTTCCTCAGATGGAACCCCACATACAACCAGCTGGTTCTGCTGACGGACGAGGTGCGCCAGGAATTCGAAAGGTGGCTCAACTGCATGCAAGTATAGAATGGTCGAGCCATATTTGGCAACCACCCGGATTTCATACTTGAATCAGACTCAAGCCGATGGGGATGCATCCACAGGAGGAACACTGATGACCCGGGAGCACATGATGCACATCAACTGCCTGGAGTTGTTGGCTGGATCATTCGCTCTCCGCAGCCTAGCAAAAGGACAATCCAACTGTTGTATTCTGCTTCGGATGGACAACGTCTTTGCTGTACGCTACATCAATCATCTGGGAGGGATTCGCTCCCAGACATTGTGTAACAAAGGACATTTTTGACTTTTGCCTCGCACCAGGGCCGAACATCTACCAGGAGAGTCGAATCTTACAGCGGATTGATACTCCCGACGCTGGAGAGACGCCAGCGTCTGGCAATTAAATACACCGTTATTTGCTTGCCTTAACTATTGGATCTGTTTGCTTCGCGCAACAATCAACAACCCAGGTTTTACAGCTGGCTCCCAGCCCCGGAATGCACAGCGGTGGATGCCTTTACCCAACAGTGGCCGACACAAGGGGCTTATGCCTTTCCTCAACAATGATTGCGAGAGTACTACGGAGACGGGAAATTACGATAACCCTTCTGATGCCACTATGGCAGAGCCAACACTGGTTCCCAGACCACCTCAACATGTTTCGCGAGGATCCAATTCTCCTGCCGGACGACTCAACCCTACTCCGGGACCCAGTGGGGAACACACACCGTATGCTTCTAGACAGACGCCTGTCCTTAGTGGCCTGGACTCTTTCAGGGGAGCATGGTGTACCAACAATTTATCGTCAATGACTAAAGACCTACTCTGGGACTCCTGGGCCCCAGGAACACGAAAGTTACCCATCTGCCTGGCGATCTTTGACCAGTTGGTGCGTGGGACGGGACCTTTATCCCTCTACAGCTCCTGTTTCGGCGATCATGAACTTCCTCTCTTCAAGGAAGTTGTCATATCACGCCATCATGTACCGTCCCAGGGGAGAGCGGTTGGTAAAGACCCCCTGATCTGTCGACTATTACAAAGCATCAAACTGAGATGGCCTCCAGCTCCCAAATAACCTCTATGCGATGTGGATGTGGTACTCCAATTCCTGAGAAGATGGCCACCTAATGAACTTCTATCCTTACGACATGACAGCCAAATTTACCTTCCAACTGTGCCTAGTCTCATTCCAATGAGTCTCGGACGTACGCGCATTCGATACGGAGTCCTTTACTATCTGCCCAGAAGGCGTCACATTCTGCATTTCACGACGGACTAAATCCGATTTGTCTTCTGTCTTCTACCAGTTCCTTGCCTCGGATCCTCAACTATGTGTGGTTGCGACTTTGCGGGCATCTTTGATGGCTACGAAGACATTACGCTCGTCAACATCCCGGCAACTACTGGTGTCAGCCCTCACGGTCCGGTTTCGGTCACCATACTGTCCAGATGGATTAGATGGCTCATCAATCTATCTTGAATAGAGTCTACTTTTGGTGCTCACTCCGTTCGAGGAGCAGCGGCATTGTGAGCATTTATGGCAAGCGCGTCTCTTTCAGATATCTTACAAGCGGTGGATTGGTCTCACAAATTTACGTTTTGGACATTCTACGTCCGTCGTCTAACACCGCGTTTTCTCTTCTTCCTAAGCATTAAAATTGCAAAATATGAAGCCTCCTCTCATGTTGTAAAATTGAAGATTATGCTAACGCAGTGTACTAATAATCTTAATTTTAATAATGACAGGAGGCGAGTATTCCCCTCCCCTCCCCCTTTTTTTTTTTTTAATGGATATTCCCAACCCTGGTATGAGGTAAGTTACAAAGTCTTAGGATGTTCACGAATTCTAGTTCTGGGTTATGTCTATTTACTTGCATGTGAACTATTATGGGTTGTGTATCTTGTTCTTGCATGTGTGATTGCCTCTTTTGTGATGATACCTTATGGTTATATAACTTGGTTACTAACATCAGCTTAAGTATGCTCAGTAATATATTCGTATGGTCGGTTCTGTATCACTGAAACTAGTCTCTTCTTTCAGCTTAAAAAGTCCTCAGCATCGATGGGAGGAATTCATTTTCCTTACCGTTTTCAAGTTAGATTTCTTACAAAGTTAACCGATTAGTTATGGACTTGTGATGTTGAATTTGACAAGAGGAAGTGATCTGGTGCGCTTTCACTTATATACACTCTGACAGTTTTCTGATTGGTTATTTATGTCAACAGTTTTTTCTTTTTTTTTTTTTTTCTTTGCTGCTATGGACTTAGTAAAGAAAGTTAATGCAAAATACTTGTCTCCTGTCATTATTAAAATTAAGATTATTAGTACACTGCATTAGCATAATCTTCAATTCTCCAAGAGTATGCAAACCATTGAGCAGAACTGTATGTACGGTGACTATTTCTGTTCATACATTATTCTTTTAGTTAAATCCTGTTCTTGTGTGATGTAAATCAAGAGATTTACAAAACAGTACTGCATTTTCAAAGGTATTTCTGCTAAACGGTGTTTTGTAAGTTGTTTAATTTAATTTGGTTTATAAATTGCCTTGGTGGTAACTGTTAAAGGTGTGGTTGGTGTTAAGGACATTATCTTTATTTTTGGACCTATAGTCTTTGATCAAGTGGCTAAATTTGGATTTCTGATCTTTCTACCAAAACCCCCCCACAAATTAAAGTTAGAAAATTGTAAACATTTTTTCATATATCTGTAAAAATAGTACTCCATATTTTGTAACACTGATGTGTACAGGCCTTGTGTTAACTCCTTAAAGACAAAGGCTCTTTTTGAAATGCAACATGTTTGTGCCCAGGGCCTTTTTGGCACTAGTAGAAAACACTGGCCAAAGTAAGCATTCTAATTTGTATGTGTGTGAATAATGGAAAAAACAGATCTGAGCGATAATTTTGGCCAGTGTTTGTGACTAAGTGGCTACTAAAAAGACTGGACATACCTCATTTGCAATAACTTGGGTTGTCTACTTTTGCAAATGGTATGCCATCATGGGGGTAATTCTCATTCCTGTGCTACTATACGGTCTCAAAGGCAACATAACCAATCTGGCAAATTTTAATGTGAAAAAATGGAAATGCAAATCTTGTATTACACTCTAACTTTTGAAAACACCATAAGACCTGTACATGGCGGGTACTCAAGAGACTTTGCTGAACACAAATATTACGGTTTCCAAACATTACAACTTATTTCAACAATATAGTCCATGAAAGTGCCGTTTGTGTCTGAAAAATGCAAAAACCTGCACTTTCACAGACTATCGTTGTTGTGATAGGTTTTACAGTTTTGAAACTCTAATATTTGTGTTCAGCAAAGTCTCCCGAGTAAAATCGTACCCCCCTATGTACAGGTTTTATGGTGTCTTGGAAAGTTACAGGGTAAAATATAGGGCTTGCAAACCATGTTCTCTGGACTTTTTGCCTGCGTTGTCAGGCAAGTCCCTCAAATTGTAATTAATGAAATGACTTAATCATGTAAAAATATATGTAGAATTTAAATATATATATTTATATATAAACGTGTGTGTGTGTGTGTATGTATGTGTGTGTATATATATATATATATATATATATATATATTATTATTTTTTTTTTTTTAAGTTTTGTGTATATATTTGTATTTAGAACGTCATGCTAAATGTATTGATTTAAATATGTATTAATATCAAAATACAGTTAGAGCAAAAGTATACAGGTATTTTTTGAAATTTTTAAAATTTTATTTATTTTTAATAAAAAAAAATATATATATATATATATATAATAAACTTCATTGTAAGTGTATTGTAATATATATATTTAAAATACACTTAGAATATATATATATATATATATATTCCAAGTAGTTTAACTTTATTAAACTTTTTTTTTACTTTACAAACATTTTTACAGGCAGCAGGGGGACAGCCTGAGAGCTCAGGCAGTCCCCCTGCTGGCACTGCATGAGCCGGCTGTTCCGGCCATGTGATTGCAAGGACCCTGCGCCGGATCGTGCAGCTCCCAGGCAGCCCACCGGTTTGCGACCGGCGGGGACCCAGTAAGTCCCCTAGACGGCAGGGACGTTCTATGCCGGCCTTTAGGACCGCTCAAAAGAGGACTGCATAGAACGCCTGCTATCCTTAAGGGGATAAAGTGCCCGATCTGTCAATTGTTTAGAAGCTCTAAAACAAATATTGCAAGGTATGACTTTGCTATATTTAGCATGCAGAGATTACAACTTTTAAAATAGTCACAGAATCCAAAACTGCCATACACTAGTAAATATTTGTAGAAAGTACATTCCCCTGGTTATATAACAAAGAACATTTTGACACTTAACAATTTTATCCAAACCTTGGTCAAAATAATTTTTTATTTAATTTTGGTTTGGTGTTTTTACTCCTACAACCCCATAATCCTACAATCTGACATGAGCAGATGTATTTCCCAGATCACCCCGTTCAGACAGCTCTGTAATGTATGATTGCATTATGAGTGACTTCAGCTGGCAAAGTTCAGCACCGATCACTTTTCAGAGGGACATGCAAGGACACCCGGCCAGGGTCTTTTCGAATCCTGGGGGTCTCCCTGCATGTACATTTAAGGCATGACAATTTATGTCCGTCAACGGACTTCAGAGTTTTGCACTGCATAGACCTTCATGTTGGCCTTGGTTAAAGGGTTACTCTGAGCATCAAAACCACTTTAACTTAATGAAGCCATTTTGGTTTAAAGATCATGTTCCTGTCTCACTGCTCAATTCTCTGCCGTCCAGGAGTTGAATCACTTGTGTTTATGCCACACCTCCATGAGTAGTGACTCAATCTGCCTCCATGAAAAAATTAAATTTTCAATCTGATGTGATGGCACAGTGCATGTACTTTATAGGTTTTTATCTACTACTCTATTGAACTTTTAACTCTAACAGAAGACTCACGCAGTGTGAAAGTTACGTACAGGTTTGCAGTGAAAAACACGTTTTCCATAAAATAAGGAATAGAATAGATAATGTAGGTAAAAGTATGCTGTGAGTTTGCCGTAAAACATTATATAAGCTAGAAATTAAGGATAAGCATTAAACGTTAAGAAATACTTAAGGATCACTAGCTTGATGACTTAAAGGGACACTATGGTCACCAGAACAACTACAGTTTTCCTGGCTCAGTGCTGCACAGTTAGGCCAGGAAGCACAGCACTGCCGATTAGTGTCTCCACGCTCTGCATGGAGACGCTGAATTTTCCTCATAGAGATGCATTGATTCAATGCATCTCTATGAGGAGGTGCTAATTGGCAAAACGGCATGGTTGTGTTCCTGACCCTATAGTGTTCCTTTTAGTTTTTCTACCCTAATACAAAACAAATGCATACAAAAATGGCTTGTGTAGAATTGATGAGTCATTTTAAATAAGTCTGAACGTAAAAGTAACTATTTACGCCATTTTAGGCAATGTATCAGCTGTTTTATGTAGTTTAATATGCAAGATCAACAATAAGCTACTAAGACTCCATTCTAGAATTAACTGAACATATATTTGAGCATTGGAAAGTTACTAGATGTCTGTTTCTAGAGTAAATTGCAAGTCACTCTTGTCTTGGAATGGGTGCAACAGGGCAACTGACACGAAACACACCAGCCACAACCAAGTTTTAATCTTAGATAAGATGTTCTAGTGCTCACCATCTGTCAGCCAAATAGGAGGGTGTTTACCTTGCATGATCAAATGTGACTTAAAGGTGCAAATGAAAAATTACTAAAATATATGTAGTGAAGTTAAGAAACCCAATACATTATAGATATGTTTTTTTTGTGAGGATATAAAATTGCCATACGTATAAAGTAAAGATATTAAATCACTAACACCATAGAAATATGTCAAACCAAATGCTGTTTGTAGCATATGCTGAGTCATGTTCTTTAACTGGAGGAAAAACATGCTATTAACAGAGCAGGAGATAAGAAATTCTAAATTAAACACTGTGCAGTAAAGGAAGTTTGAAAGTGTGTATGGAGACTGTGTAGGACTCATGCAGCGGAGGTGTGACAATGGCTGCATAAACCAAGATTTAACTCCTAAATGGCAGAGATTTGAGCAGTTAGACTGCAGGGACTTGCTTCACTATGCATTAAACCACTTCATTTAAGCTCAAGCTGTTATGGTGTTTATAACCATATAATTTTATAAGCAAGTATAGTCTTTCTAATGTGGTGCAATAATATGAATCCTAGGACAGTAGGGTAAGAGTAAGTACTCATGCATACTCCAGTGTACAACACTAAGGTCTTTGCAAAATCTTGCAAGACTGTGGGATCCTCCATTGACTTTTTTTTTTTTTTTTTTCTGCAGCTGTTAGTAGTGATGGCTGGGGGAGATTACAAAACTTGAAAAGTTAGCTCCACCTTTTGTTAAGCGGAAAAAAAATACAAAGAGTATTGCCTACTTTGTCTTTGTATAGATTTTGATCACCTTGCAATTTCAGTGAACGCCGTCAATGAGCGTATTTCATAAAGTGGTGATAGAGCCACTTTAAGTGTTGGATATATACAAACCGTTCTTGTGTGCCATATCTTTAGATTGTCTATTATGTTTTTATGAAATTATAAAATGTCACATGTTTAAAACTGCTTTATAATTCGAAAGAGTTAATCAATTTATGCTTCTCCATAGTAATGGAATTTGGAGAACTTTCTTTGGCTTGGATACTTTTTATTCTGTTCAGTTGGTTGTTACTATCAAACATTGTGTTCAAGGACATTTTAAATTTAAACTTACTTTGCTAGATATTGCTTTACAATGAGGGCTGAATAAAAAAGGGGTTGTGCTTGGCCATCTTGGTCTGCTAAACTTTTTCCTGTTTATTAATTTATTTATTGCCTGTTTGCTTTTTGACTTTAACCCCTTAAGGACGGAGCCAAATGTACACGTTGTGAACAAAACAAAATTTAAACAAAACCTGGCATTTGCGCTACATGTCTGTCCAACCGTAATTCACCTCTTTCATATTAAATGCACCCACCCTTATTATATATCATTTTATTCAGGGGAAACAGGTCTTTCATTTAATATCAAATATTTAGCTATGAAACATAATTTAATATGAAATAAATTGGAGAAAATAAGATTTATTTTGATTATTTTAGTTCTACATGACATTTTAACTGTCAATGTCATAATACTGTTTGCTTTTACTGCAATAAAATACACATCTTTGTATTCAGCAAAGTCTCACGTGTAAAACAGTGCCCCCTATGTACAGGTTTTATGGCGTTTTGGGAAGTTACAGGGTCAAATATAGCACGTTACATTTGAAATTGAAATTCGCCAGATTACTTACGTTGCCTTTGGGACTTTATAGTAGCCCAGGAAAGAAATTTACACCCATAATGGCATATCATTTGCAATAGTAGACAACCCAAGGTATTGCAAATGGGGTATGTCCAGTCTTTTTTAGTAGCCATTTGGTCACAAACACTGGCCAAAGTTAGTCTTAGTATTTGTTTGTGTGTGAAAAATGCAAAAAACGCCAATTTTGGCCAGTGTTTTGACTAAGTGGCTACTAAAAAAGACTGGACATACCCCGTTTGCAATACCTTGGGTTGTCTACTATTGCAAATGGTATGCTATCATAGGGGTAAGTTTCATTCTTGGCCTACCATAGGGTCTCAAAGGCAACGTAACCAATCTGGCGAATTTTAATGTGAAAAAAATGAAACACAAGCTTTATATTTGACGCTGCAACTTTTGAAAACACCATAAAACCTGTACATGAGGGGTACTGTTGTACTCGGGAGACTTCGCTGAAAAAGTATCGCAGCAATATTGTCCGTCTAAGTGCTGTTTGTGCGTGAAAAATGCAAAAAACTTCACTTTTACTGGCGATATCATCGTTGTAATACATTTTACTGTTTTGAAACACTAATATTTGTGTTCAGCGAAGTCTCCCGAGTAGAACAGTACCCCCCATGTACAGGTTTTATGGTGTCTTGGAAAGTTATAGGGTTAAATATAGTGCTAACAAATTAAATTCCCTTTACTTTCGGCATGGGTTGTCAGGCAGGTCCCGCTAATTGTAATTAATTAAGATACCTAATTATATTACATAAATATATATGTAGAATTAATATATGTATATATATACGTATGTGAATATATATATATATATATATATATATATATATATATATATATATATATATATATATATATATATATATATACGTGTGTGTGTATATATATTTTTTAATCTTTTTTTTATATATAGGTGTATATATAGTGATATACGTATATATTTATGTATATAGATATATATTATTTCATTCTACGTGTATTTTGATATAAATATATATTATCACAATACAGTTAGAACGAAATAACACACATCTATATTTTTTTTTAACGTATTTACATATTTAATTTTTTTATATTTTATATAAATATATATAACTATATATTTCATCAGTATCAGTCTACGTGTAATAATATATATTAATAGTAAAATACACTTAGACAGTATGACAGTATTTGTGTGTGTATATGTGTGTGTATATATATATGTATATGTATGTGTGTGTATGTATATATATATTTATTTTTTTTTACACTTATTTAACTTTTTAAAATTTTATTTCTAGCCAGCAGGGGGACCACCTGTCATTACAGGCAGCCCCCTTGCTGGCAATGCAGGAGGCAGCTATCCCGGCCATGTGATTGTGAGGTCCTCGCAAGGACCTCACTCTCACATGGCTGTGGGGGCTGCCAGGGGGTCGGACGTGCCGCGGGGGGCTCCCTGGGAGTCCCCCCAACCGCGATCGCCGGCGTGGGATCGCCAGCGACCGGGTAAGTATAGAAAGACCGGAGGGCGTACTATTATGCCCGGCGGCGTTTAGAGCTGCCTAAAATAGGCCGTAATAGTACGCCCTCCGGTCTTAAGTGGTTAAAGGATCACTATAGTGTCAGGAAAACAAAGCCGTTTTCCTGACACTATAGTGCCCTGAGGGTTAAAACCCCTTCAGCAGCTTACCTTTATCCAGCTCCGGGCTCCCTCGGCGCTGGTGACCTCTCCTCCCCGACCGTCAGCTCCCTAGTGAAGCGGAATGCGTGTGCGCGGCAAGTGCCGCGTGCGCATTCAAAGAGTCTATAGGAAAGCATTTCTCAATGCTTTCCTATAGAGGCTCTGCGCGATGGATGCAAAATTCACATCCAGCATCACAGATGCGCCTCTGAAGTGGTCTGTCCCTTTAACTTATCATATCTGTAAGAATCTTTGTTTACAGTTTGAACTGGATATGCTTCCTGCTTAGCCATCCATCACTATTCCGTCATTGGTAACAAAGCCCTCCAACAAATTGCTGGGGTTTATTTTGTGTACTGTTGGATGCATTTTATCAGTATGCAATTGTACCTTCATTTTAATAAGCTAACTTAGTTGAAGAAATAAAAATATAAAGTTTTATATGATGCGTAAAACTGCATCTATATTTTTGTTGGAGGGTAAAGCTGCAAGAGAAATGTTATCTTTTGTAAATGAGCCACTTTCAAAAATCGGTTGAAAAGAGCACCATACACTTTTAAAGTATAGTTTTACTTAACTAATTAATGGAAAAACAAATTTAATAACGAAAGCAGTATTTTTTATTTTGTTTAGATTACATCAAATTTAGTTTTCGGTATCAGATAGCCATATAGTGTACAGGGGTGACATTCTTCCATCTTTAAGACCTTTTTTTCACTTTATATTCTGTTACCTCTAGACATTGTGTAATGTCATGTGTGTGGTGTTCATCTGAGGTTATATTGACCTAAATTTAAGACCTGCTAAGGAACTGGTGATTGTCCTGATATGTAAAACATGGCATTTAAAGAGGGTGTACTTTCTTTTTTACTTGACTTTATGTGCAGCAATACCGTCCTGAATAGCAAAGACATGGAAGGGAGACATCTCCAACATCAGTATTGGTTAAACTATAATCTATTTTTGCTCCTCTGGAATAACTTTTATCATCTGTAACTTAACTTTCTTTAAACATGGTCCTACAATGGAACTTTTTCTAGTTGCCAAGAATCTTCCCCTCTAGACTGACTTCTTTGATTTGTACCTTTTCGTATTCCTTTTACAAGTTTATTTTATTTTATTTTTTTAAATTGTCATCTTTGGTAAAATTTTGTATTTTGATAACTTTCTTATGATCATAATTGATATCCACAGAGAGTTTCAACCCTTTTTATTCTAAAAAAATCTGATCGTTGTCAAATTGATATTGTTTATTTTTAACTTTTAATCTGTAAACTATTAAAACAAATTTTTCTGAGAAATATTTCACTGTAAAATGTTAAGAAATTAAATTTATGCCTATGTGTTTGTGATCTTGATTCTTGAGCAGTCTTGGAAAGTAGTGCACAATGGAACTTAAAGGACCTCTATAGTGCCAGGAAAACAAACTAGTTTTCCTGGCACTATAGGGTCATTAGGTCCCCCCCACCCTCAGGGCCACCTCCCGCTGGTCTGAAGGAGTTAAAAACCCCTTCAGTTACTTATCATTCTCCAGCGCCGGGGAGCTCTCCTCCCTCTGCCAAAGTCTGCTCCGAAAGCACATGCGTGGCAAGAGCCGCGCGAGCATTTGAACCGTACATAGGAAAGCATTATTCAATGCTTTCCTATGGACATCCAGCGTCTTCTCACTGCGATTTTCAGTGAGAATCGAGGAAGCGCCTCTAGCTGCTGTCAGTGAGACAGCCGCTAGAGACTGGATTAACCCTCAGTGAAACATAGCAGTAACTCTGAAACTATGTTTTCAGCTGCAGGGTTAAAACTAGAGGGACCTGGCACCCAGACCACTTCATTGGCCTGAAGTGGTCTAGGTGCCTATAGTGGTCCTGTTTTCAGACTGAGAAACCCTTTGGGAGATCCCTCCCCAATTCAAAGTATATATTCTAAACTAGTGTTGGATACCCCTAGTCCAAAGGACACATTGTTCTTATCATTAGGAACAACCATGTAGTTATGTGTGCTAGTATGCAAGCTGGAGATTTTGAAAACCGAACTATTTTCATCATAATACTAGACAAACACTGAGAAATACACCATCACTTAAGGTTATATTACCATGTTTGCCTATGTGGTGCACTGCCCTTAGGTCTAGCTGAAAATTTAGTTCAGTTAAGACTGGACAGTCTTACTTTCTAAGTCCCGTTGAAGATGGACCCCATGCTGTAAAAAGTCTGTTTATCCTTGGGAAAAAATGCCTTCCAGCCTTGTGTCCAGCCATGGCTAGACATCCGTTCATGATACAAATTTTTCTGATCCAAGCATATTTCAAAAAAGGATTTCCTAAGATAACTGTCACACCAATCTATAGGGAATTCTAGAAATAGACATACAAATTCATTGTTAAGAAATCCTAAAATGCTAATTCTTTAATGTTTTGTATTTAATATAGTATTGGCTTTGATGTTCAAATTTCATTTTTCTCTTTAGAGTTGATGGTTAGAGTTCAAGAATGTGTATCTTTATAGTAACTAAAAAAAAAAGTTAATCTTGTTCAGTTCATCCTCCTATTAAATTGCTGTTTTCAATAAATTTTAAATTTTGCAGTTTTTTACTTTTTTGAGCAAACCAGGCTATGCAGATACATTTTGTAATTAGTGTGGCAAAAATAATTATGTAAAAAGTGTAAAGACAGTACTTATATTATTTATTTCACAATACCCGCCACGTTCTAAGCATTTAGGGAAATTTAAGTCTCTAACTACAGCTTTAAATACTCCTTATTAAAGCAGCGTTTATTTCGACATCAGGTAAACCTTGTGAATTTTAATCACTTATCCACAACTTGAACTTTGCCCCCAATATTTTCACAATTACTCATTGAAATAACTTCACTGAGATATACAGTCAAAAGTTGCTTTTGTATTGCTAAATGTGATGGTTATTTACATTGGTCCGCAAACATTCAGTAGCAAACCTGCAGTTGCGTAAGAGTGGTTTTTAAACACATGTCGGCAGTTTAATTGGCTACACCATGTGAGTACATATATTTTCTAGAAGGTTCTTCACAATTCTGTTTAATATTACAAAATCTAAGATGGCTGTTAAATTTGAAGAAATTAGAAGAAATTTTTGGGAAGTTTGATTACAAACTCGATAAATACTCTTAACCTAAACACACTAATAAAAAAAAGAGGTGTGAATACTATTTGTGGATCCATATATTAAGGAAAAGTCAAGTAATTTCCAAGCCACCATAAGAATATTTAAAGTGAGTAGGACAGTAAGTTGTAGACTTATAGTTCATTTGTGGCTAATGCAAAAATCTAGCACCATTACGTTTTCAAATATATAAATATATATATATATATATTTATAATATATATTTTGCCTTTCATTAAAAAAAAAAAAAAAATCACATTGGCATAAGAAAGGTCTAATTTTTGAAGACCATATTGCCCTTTTTGTGAGAATAAATTAGTATTTATACATAGTCAATCTTTTATAACTAGTCAATTTATTATGAAGAGTTTTTATTTGTATGTTTTAATGCTGTTATGTAATGCAATCACAATTTTTGGAATTATGTAATTTTTTTAATAACCAAAAGAAAAATATATTAGGCGCAAACATTTTGACATTTATGGGTGGTTCTCTATAAAGAGTAATTCTGGTAAAATCTTAAAGTGAAAATTCCATGGCAACAATGGAACATTCAAACTAACCCAGAAATAGAACTGCCCCATTGTTTCTTTTGCATAACCCTGTTGAAGGATCAAACTGCTCTAATTGATTTGCAGAATTTACTTTGTTGATATATAAATTAGGGTTGGCAGTATTTAATGAGGTAGAATTTTATGGCATTGGAAAAAGATGCAAGATCTTTTATATCTTGGCTATTTTGTTGAGTAAGGGCTTTTGTCCCCCCTTCATTCATTCCATTTTTTTCTGGCTAGCTCTGCAAGGCTTTCTCTCAAGATTAATGCAATGCAGTATGTTATGTTGGTTCTGTACCACTATTTTTCATATTTTAACTATAAGTTTATTCCCCACAGTTTCTAGATTATAAAAAAAAGAGCAATTTAAAAATATATATATTTTCAAGTGTGAAAATATTTTCTTGCTTGATTAAGTGTGTGTGATTTGTTGAATTTAGGATTCTACTCTCCCCCTCTGTGAATGGTTTAACCTGTTTAGACAGAAAGGCGTTGAGGCTGGATTTTTACAGCTCAATCTAGATAAAACCGGTTTGAGGCAGTTCCCAAAGGCTACAGTCCTGTGTGCTAATGGAGATGTGATTTCGTTTGAGATTGGTCTCACAAATCTTGTTTGCAGACAGTATTTAATCATTGTGATGGCAGCAAAATGTGGTTTCCAAACTTGGCTTAAATAAAAATGCAGCAGAAAATGCCTCAGCGAAGGAATTAAATACTAAATAAAAGCAAATGATAGGTCTAGCTGTTTGTTTCCAATTGTTTTATGATAGATTATATCTATCTCTCTATATATTTATATTCTCCTAAAACAATTTATAAAAAAGCTAATTCAATTTTATTCAACAAAATATTTTGACCTTGAACATGTAACTTATTTTTTTTTTTCTAACCAATTTTCAAAAGGCTTAATGTTCAGCAAGATGTATCCATTTTGTTTCTAATTCTGGGGTGGGGACACATGCATTATTGCTTTGTCATTTATAGCTAAATATTACCTCTATATTATAACGTTCGATACAACTTTATTCTTTTTTAAACTGCTTTGTAGATGGAAGGATAATAACCATTATCTTAAAGGTGTCCCATTACTGTCCCTCTTCTTGACTCTTTTGTACCTAATAAAATAGGTGTGTTGGTGAAATGAGGCCATAAAATGTTTATATCAAGCAAAATAGAATCCATTTGTACCCATATACCAGGTGCCAATGCTTGAAGTTACTTACAAATGCCTACTTTAGATACAAAATGAGATTTAATATTGTGTGTGAATGTATAGTGCTTCAGATTGCCATCCAAAATTGGTTTCTCGATGGTTGGAACATGCTGGTACATTTTAACTTGCTTCTGCTAGTGTCCCTGGTGCAGTGGACTGTTTGAATGCAAAGCTGATGTTCTTTCTAGTTAAGTGGACACAATCAAATTCATAAAAAGAGCTGAACGAACAATAATTGAACTTTGCTTTAGTAAGGTACACAGACGATGGGTAAACACTTCATAGCCTTTTTAAAGTTTTCATCCCTGTCAAAGTATCTACATTTTGGAAATGAAAGAAAAATACAGATTCTAATCTTTGATATTCACATGACCGCAAGAACTTTACTTCTCATATTTACTGAGCCCCCTTTCCATTTATATTTCTCTCTACTTTTGTTGCCACTTTATTTTGGGTTGAGGTCTGATCCAAACTCCATCTGCACTGGCTTGGCAATTTCTATTAGAAAGACACATACAGAGTCAGGTTCATTACCTGCTCCAAATTTTTTTTTCTTCCTACCCTTCCTGGAAAAAATTCACCACTACTGTCCAAGACAATTACAACAAGAATTCCGAGGGGTTTATTTAATGTTCCTGTTTCCAAAAGAAGACCTTTAAATTTTATATGGAAACCATACTTCCATTCATTCTCCAAAAAAGGAAATTATATGGATACTCTGGATTTAAAAGATGCCTACTTACATGTTCCTTTGGCAGTTGCTTCAAGAAAGTGTTTAACCCCTTAAGGACTGGACTGTTTTTGCGATGTTGTACATTTGCGATCAGGCATATTTTTACACTTTTGTGGTGTGTGTGTTTAGCTGTAATTTTCTGCTCTCTCACTTACTGTTCCCATACAAATTATATATTGTTTTTTTCAGGACAAAAGGGGCTTTCTTTACATACCATTATTTATATAATCTCGTGTATTTTAATTTTAAAAAAATAAAAAAATATGATGAAAAATTGAAAAAAATAATGTTTTTTGACTTTTACGTAAATCTTTTACTCATCTATAAAAGCGAATGAAAAAAACTGCTAAAAAGATTCAAAATGTTGTCCTGAGTTTAAAAATACCCAGTGTTTACGTGTTTTTTTTGCTTTTCTTTGCATGTTATAGGGCTATAGGTACAAGTAGGATATTGCGGTTTCAAAACATGCATTTTTAAAATTTATCAATAGTGACATTGTAACACTATTATCTGTCATAAATCTCTGAATAACACCCCACATGTACATATTTTTTTTTTTTTTTTTTAAAGTAGACAACTCAAGGTATTCAATATGGGGTATGTCCAGTCTTTTTTAGTAGCCACTTAGTCGAAAACACTGGCCAAAGTAAGCATTCATATTTGTTTGTGTGTGAAAAAAGTAAAAAAACTAAATTGAACGCTAATTTTGGCCATTGTTTGTGACTACGTGGTTACTAAAAAAGACTGGACATACCCCATTTGCAATACCTTGGGTTGTCTTCTTTTGCAAATGGTATGCCATCATGGGGATAATTCACATTCCTGGGCTACCATACGCTCTCAAAGGCAACGTAACCAACCTGGCCATTTTCAATGTAAAAATATTTGACCCTGTAACTTTCAAAAATGCTATAAAACCTGTACATGGAGGGTACTGTTTTACTCGGGAGACATCACTGAACACAAATATTAGTGTTTAAAAACTGGAAAACGTATCACAACAATTATATCATCAGTAAAAGTGCTATTTGTGTGTGAAAAATGCAATAAAAAGTAACTTGCACTGACAATATCATCGCTGTGATATGTTTTACTGTTTTGAATCACTAATATTTGTGTTCAGCGAAGTCTCCCGAGTAAAACAGTACCCCCCCCGTCACGTGCGTGGGCTATAGGCCCAGCCGAGACAGTGGGGAGAGTGTGGAAGTGACAGGGTTAATGACACCAGACCCCTGGTTACCTGTTGCTAATCCCAGCAACCACTCAATTAACCCCTGCAATCCCTTCTACACTAACCCCCTTTGTACATACTCTACTGCCACCACCAAGACTTTTAAACCCGGGCGTCTTAGGTTACCCCACACACAGGAGAATTATAGTATCACAGTTCTACTTTTACTGATAAAACATATATAGTTAACCCCTTTTGGTAACGTGTTTACCTGAGCTTTCCTCTGGAGAGTGAAGCTCATAGAGAACAGAGACACAAGCTGATTAAGTAAACATTTAATCTGACAAAAAGGATTCACAGTGCTGAGTACAAAATACAGAAATAAATGACATACAGATAACAAATTGCAAAACAGTACATAAAATAAAATAGGAGAAAACACAAGAAATTCCTTACATATATTTACCCCATATAGAATTCTTGTGGGAGTCTTAGATGGTATAGGTCTCCTAGAAGTTACTGACAAAAGAAAAATGAATAACTGACTTCCCTGGATAGTCCAACACCCTCATATATCTAAACTAGTTGTTTCTCAGTGGGCAGACCCCTGGGGGGGGGGGATCAGAGGGGGCTGGTCTGGCAGTCTATTGCCCACTCTATGAAATTCCTTGTGTCCAGCTCTGGTGATGGCTATCTAGATGTTTTATGGTCTAGGCCTGGTGCAAGATCAAAGACCACAATAAATGTCATCCCAAGGTTTACAAAAAAACAACTCTTAACATATATAAACACACATCAAACACCAACTCATGCTTTTGGCATGACACCCCCATGTACAGGTTTTAGGGTGTCGTAGAACGTTACAGGGTAAAATACAGTGCTAGCAAATTAAATTCTCTGGACTTTCGGCCTGGGTTGGCAGGCAGGTCCCTCAAATTGCAATCAATAAAATTACTTAATTATGTAAAAATATTACATAAATATGCACGTAGAATTTAAATATATATGCATATTTACATATTTGAAATCTAAGTGTATATATATTTATGTAATTTTGTATATGGACATATGTATATTTCGTATTATTTTTATTTATATATACATAGATATATATACAAATTCATTCTAAGTGTATTTTGATATAAATATATATTAATTTTAAAATAGAATAACATTTCATTTAGATATATAATTTTTTTCAATTTTTATTATTTTAAAAACAATTTAAATTACTTATTTATATTTTATTATATATATATATACATTATATATTATATACGTGTGTAATTTAAGTGTATTTTTAGATTAATATAAGTACATATTAATATAAAAATACACTTAGTATGACATTATATAGACATATATTATATAAATATAATATATGTCTATATATATATATATATATATATATATATATATATATATATACACACACACACGCATATATAATTTTTTTAATTAACATTAACTCTTTTTTATTTATTTTTTATAAAAATTCAGTGTGGGGAGACTGTCTGGGCTGCAGGCAGTCTCCCCACACCGGGAGCCACGCTGATCGCCGCCGGGGGAACGACGGCGATCAGGTAAGTACATTGGACCGTTAGGACGGTTCAGGACCGTCATCGGTTGGCAATGCAAAAATGCAATTAAAATCAGGGAAAAAGAATACAGGCACTTTTAGTTTAAGGCCTTGCCATTCAGCCTAGCCTTTGCACCGAGGAGTTTTAAAAGTGTCCTTCCTTTTGCAGCATATCTCAGAGAAAAAAAAACATTTACATTGTTCCATATTTGAATGGTTGATTCCTCAAAACAAGTTCCAAAGAACAACTAAGAAGAAATAATTAAACCACTATTCCATCATTAAGAGGTCATGGTTGATCAATTGGAAAAATCAGCTCACTCCTACATGTATCCAGTTTCTGGGACTCTTAGTTGATTTGAAGTCTCTTTCTCTGACGTTCGCGCGGGTCAGACAAAGGTACCGAATTGCACATTTGGTGGATCTGCCCACAATAGATATGGAGATATTCCACAATTGCACTGTTGTGGAAAATAGAATGACCATAGCTGCAAATAAGAAATCACTAACTAAACGCCTTCTCAGTACGGCTATTACCCTGATTCCCATCCTCTGGAAAAAGCCGTGAGCGCCCACCTTCCAGCAATGACTAACGAAAGTAGAGGAATCCTAAAACGCAGAAATTACTGCAGCCCTGAGGGACCACTCTGATAAATGTGCCTTGACCTGGTTCTCATGTAGCACACTAGATGATAGACCACTTCCACCCCAGAATGAGTGTACACAATCACATACCCCACTTTTTTTTTTCCTTCCACGCACTTGTATACGCCACAGTTTACCTTCCCCATTGCCAAAATTGGTAGTTTGATATAACTACATATGTGCAGCCTTCTGACAATGCCAGCTTCCACCATTAACCCCTTAAGGACCAAACTTCTGGAATAAAAGGGAATCAGGACATGTCACACGTCATGTGTCATTAAGGGGTTAAAGTTACCGGGTAATGGGCAATGCAAAGCCAAAGCACGTATTCGTCTGTAATTAAAAAGCATTGACGTAGCATGATACGACGACATGGTTGTGATTACTAACCTAATACGTGTTGTGATGCTTGGTAAACAAACCGCCACCTGTCGTGACCCGTTGACGAATTGTTTTCGCTCTGTATTATTTGTAACACTGTGTGTGTCTCTTTTTAAGACGTTCACTTTCTTCATGGTGAAGCACATCAGGAAAGCCATGAACGTTCTCATGTCTTTAATTACAGCTATGCAGTGGGCAAAATCACGGATTAGACCTTGCAAATTTGGTCAAGAAAGAGGAGGATTTGGAATTCGAATTCAGGTTCTAAAAAGGTCCGATATCAACTAGATTGGTAGAGAAAATTTTAATTTCTGTTCTGGGACTTCTCTTTCCAACAAAAGAAAAATAGATTACAATTGCAACGGACGCCTCAAAATTAATCTGAAAACCCTACTTCGTCAAGACATTTGATTCTTAAGAGGAGGCAGATCAATCCTCAAATTTTCAGGACATTATGGTGCTTTTCAATGTCATGGATCACACACACAAAACCATGAATCCTACACAAAGCAGTCAGAATTCAAACAGACATCACAACAGTCACCTATATAAACAAAATAGGTGGAACAAAAGTCAAGGAATTAAAGATACAATATGATGGATTTTCTCCAAAATGTTACCAGAATGTCAACATCCAAGATTTATCTCAGGATTTGAAAGCAGTTTCTCATCTGTTGTCGATGACTGTTTCAACATCAATCCATCCATTCTGACCATCCTGATAAAGAGGGTTTTTCTGCTGGGCTTAGTCGCTTTACTCTAAAAGTTCTAATTTTGTGTCTCATTTCCTGGTTTTGGATTTGGCTACCAATATCTTAATCAGGTGGGGGTTTTTTTTAAATTTGTTTTTTAATGCCATTTTGCTCAAATGTCCTCCTCACAATTTTTTTTAATTTTTTTTTTTTCCCAGCCTGTGATTTGGTTTTAGTACTCCGAGCCCTTTGTGATGCTTCCTTTAAACTACTGGAGGAAGTCACATATAAATATTGCATTATATTCAGGCCTTATCATATTCAGAAATGTTATGATCTTTCATCGGGATATGGGGATGTTGCATCCAGAGCCATCATTTCTACCCAAGGTTCTGGCTAAAACAATTAGGTGTAGCTTCACCTTCTGGACATCAAAAGAGCACTGGAAACGTAAATCAAGAGGTCCACTATTTTCTTGACATCTGACATTCTATTTGTCAACTTCAAATGTTCATTTCAATGTAGAGCATTATCTAAAGCTACCATAGCCAGATGATTGACACAATCAAGCTGGCATATGAAGTTAAGGGTCTCAAACTTCCATTTCCAGTAAAGGAACACTCTACCACAGATATGGCAACATCCTGGGCAGCTAAAGTTTATGCTTCTCTAGAATATATTTGCAAAGCAGCTACCTGGTCATTATTACATACATTTATAAAGCACTACAGGCTAGCCATTTTCTCTTTCTCATAAGCTGCTATCGGGCTTAAGGTGCTGCAGGTGGTCATTTGAGTTTCCACACCCAATTGGCATCTTGCTTTATTGCATAGGTATATCGCTCTCAGTCTCAGATTATACATGGGGGAAACATCTTGTTTGCCGTAAAGTTTTTATTTTCTTTCTATAGTATAGTGACCGTACGGATCTCCCTCCCTTTCGCTTTATACTTATTGATTATTTTTTTTGCAGTATTGCGTCTAGGTGTGGTTTCTTTACATGACTGACGTGTTTCAGCTGGGGCAACTTTTTTAAGGTATAATAGGGAGGAGCTTGCTTTTATTATTTTAACTTTATTGCCAGGTTTATTTGTCCAACATAGCGAAGAACAACCCACAGGTGCTGCCACTACTAAGGAAAAAAATATTTATGGGATGTGTTGATAACCGATCTTCTAAGCGTGCAACTAGAATTACCATGGATATTCATTGTGCAAATATGTCATAGATTGGAAAATGATGACCAGAGTATTTCATTAGCATTCTCGTCTCTGTTTAAAGTTGTATATAAAGTAGTTGCTGAGCAGTTATAATAAAGTTTCCTATAGAATTGTCTTTCACACTTTGAAATTCTTTTGCGTTGGCTAATTTTCAACAATTTTCTTTTGGGGTTTTTTTTTTTTTTCTTCTTATAACCTTAATAATGAAAAAAATTTATATTTATTTTTGTAGTTGGAGTTATCCGGTGTCCTGTATGCAATCAGGAGTGTGCTGAAAGAGACATAATAGAGAACTACTTTGTGCGTGACACTACAGAGGTCCCCAGTAGTACTGTAGAAAAGCCATCTCAGGTATGTACAAAGAAAAATAGCACTTTATCTGCTAGGAGTCTGGGTATAAATCTTTATTTAATTTAAATGAGGATTTGAAGCTGGCCTTTTCAGTAATTGTTTTAAATTCTTCCAATAAATACATAGCAAAGTATCATCATTGTTTGCTTTTAAAGTCTGTATCTTCAGGCCTCAAGAACTAGTTTCACTTTTGCCAGTCAAATGGTAAAATGAGCATTAAAAGAACTTTTTTTTTTTTTTTTTGTCTTCTGTATATATTGTATTCTGTCCCTCTGATTATAAATAAACAAAGATTTCTAGTATTAAAGGGCCAATTTAAGCCCCCTAATGAATGCAGCATTCTTTAGTGCTTCTGTTTCCATGCACGGTGGTGTGACAACCCGAGGTTCCAATTGTCGTCCACTGCTCAGCCATTTGCTGTACATATTCCTAATTTAGAAGATCTCCTTTTAGAATTTTGGTAAACTTGTTATGTCATTAATTTAGCTGACTGCTACATAACAGGGATTGGCGCCATGGCCATGTTGGCATCATAACCATTGCAGCAAAACGGTTTGAATTTTGATCAGGTGACCTTCCTTCTGCAACACATTACTCAAATCTATATTTTTTTTTTTTTGGATTTTTAGCAAGTTTGTACAAGCTGTGAGGATAACGCTGAGGCTCGTGGGTTTTGTGTGGAGTGCGTGGAATGGCTTTGTAAAAATTGTGTACAGGCCCATCAAAGGGTAAAATTTACAAAAGATCATACTGTGCGGCAAAAGGAAGAAGTACCCCCAGGTAAGAATTAAAAATATTTTTTTTTTCTTAAAAAAAAAAGTTGTTTGTTAACTTTGATATAGATATGGAGATTTATAAAAAAAAAAATTTCTTCTTCCTTTAGCCATTCTCCAAATGGCTCCATACCTCAGTATGTGAACATTTTTTATTTGTTTGACCCAATGTTTATATTTCACAGAAGCTGTTGGAGTAACTAGCCAACGTCCTGTTTTTTGCCCTTTTCACAAGAAGGAGCAGCTGAAATTATACTGTGAGACTTGTGATAAACTGACCTGCAGGGATTGTCAGCTTCAGGAACACAAGGAGCACAGGTATCCACTTTAAAGGGAAACTGCTTTTAAATGCTTTCTATAATAAGTAAAGGGGAAAATAAAAACATGCCATCAGTAGTTTCCTGAAGATAATCTGTTTTAATGGCTCTCACATTGTATAATTTGCAAAGCCCTTGATGGTAACATCACCGCTGTTCTTCCAGTAATCCCGAGGTGCAGACGAAGGTGCGAGTTACTCACATGAACCTGTCCATGCATGGATTGCAAAGTCAAGGCTTGACTCTGCTTTTTTTTTGTCAAGCAGAGTGTAATAGAAGCCTCTGTTTCTGTATCTTGTGGAGAGTCATGGACTCAGCAGATACGGTGGCTAACCATCCAGTTTTAAATAGTTGTAACTTTCTGTATTGCATGGTTGAACTTGCGTAATATTTATTTAATGGCCATTTTGAGTGTTTCATTTCTTCATTGCCTTGTTGATTTTTTACATCAGGGTGTTGTTCCAGAAGAGGGCTTTTTACACTAATTTAAACTGACTATTCTGTGTGTGATTGGTTGATTTCAGTCCTTGCTGTTATTGGTTGACTTGTTTACTATACAAGAAACATAGAAACATAGAATGTGACGGCAGATAAGAACCATTCGGCCCATCTAGTCTGCCCAATTTTCTAAATACTTTCATTAGTCCCTAGCCTTATCTTATAGTTAGGATAGCCTTATGCCTATCCCACGCATGCTTAAACTCCTTTACTGTGTTAACCTCTACCACTTCAGCTGGAAGGCTATTCCATGCATCCACTACCCTCTCAGTAAAGTAATACTTCCTGATATTATTTTTAAACCTTTGTCCCTCTAATTTAAGACTATGTCCTCTTGTTGTGGTAGTTTTTCTTCTTTAAATATAGTCTCCTCCTTTACTGTGTTGATTCCCTTTATATATTTAAATGTTTCTATCATATCCCCCCTGTCTCGTCTTTCCTCCAAGCTATACATGTTAAGATCCTTTAACCTTTCCTGGTAAGTTTTATCCCGCAATCCATGAACCAGTTTAGTAGCCCTTCTCTGAACCCTCTCTAAGGTATCAATATCCTTCTGAAGATACGGTCTCCAATACTGTGTACAATACTCCAAGTGAGGTCTCACCAGTGTTCTGTATAATGGCATGAGCACTTCCCTCTTTCTACTGCTAATACCTCTCCCTATACAACCAAGCATTCTGCTAGCATTTCCTGCTGCTCTATTACATTGTCTGCCTACCTTTAAGTCATCAGAAATAATCACCCCTAAATCCCTTTCCTCATATGTTGAGGTTAGAACTCTATCAAATATTCTGTACTCTGCCCTTGGGTTTTTACGTCCAAGATGCATTATCTTGCACTTATCCACATTAAATGTCAGTTGCCACAATTCTGACCATTTTTCTAGTTTACCTAAATCATCTGTCATTTGGCTTATCCCTCCTGGAACATCAACCCTGTTACATATCTTAGTATCATCAGCAAAAGACATACCTTACCATCAAGACCTTCTGCAATATCACTAATAAAAATATTAAAGAGAATGGGTCCAAGTACAGATCCCTGAGGTACCCCACTGGTGACAAGTCCAAGTTTTGAATATATTCCATTGACTACAACCCTCTGTTGCCTGTCACTCAGCCACTGCCTTACCCATTCAACAATATTGGAATCCAAACTTAAAGATTGCAGTTTATTGATAAGCCTTCTATGTGCAACAGTGTCAAAAGCCTTACTTAAATCTAGGTAAGCAATGTCTACTGCACCACCCTGATCTATAATTTTAGTTACCCAATCAAAAAAATCAATAAGATTAGTTTGGCATGATCTCCCTGAAGTAAACCCATGTTGTCTCTGATCTTGAAATCCATGTGTTTTTAGATGTTCAGCAATCCTATCCTTTAACATGGTTTCCATCACTTTCCCCACTACTGAAGTAAGGCTTACTGGCCTATAGTTGCCCGACTCCTCCCTATTACCCTTCTTGTAAATGGGCACAACATTCGCTAACTTCCAATCTTCTGGGACTACACCTGTTAACAATGATTGGTTAAATAAATCTGTTAATGGTTTTGCTAGTACACCACTAAGCTCTTTTAATAGCTTTGGGTGTATTCCATCAGGTCCCATTGACTTATTTGTCTTTACTTTTGACAGTTGAGATAGAACCTCTTCCTCTGTAAACTCACGTGTAATAAATGACTCATTTATCCTTTTTCTCAACTGAGGTCCCTTTCCTTCATTTTCTTCTGTAAATACAGAACAAAATATTCATTGAGGCAGTCAGCCTGACCTTTATCCTCTTCTACATACCTTCCTTCTTTTGTTTTTAATCTAACTAATCCTTGTTTTACTTTTCTTTTCTCATTTATGTATCTAAAAATGTTTTATCCCCTTTTTTTACTGACTGTGCTATTTTCTCTTGTGTGTGATTTGGAAGCTCTTATAACTTGCTTAGCCTCTTTCTGCCTAATCTTATAGATCATTTTGTCTTCCTCACTCTGGTTTTTTTTATAATTCCTAAATGCTAACTTTTTGTTTTTAACTATTTTGGCCACATCTGCGGAGTACCACAGTGGTTTCTTGAATTTTTGCTTTTACTGACAAGCCTAATGCAATTTTCTGTTGCCTTCAATAGTGCAACTTTTAAATAATCCCATTTCTCTTGGACTCCATTTAAATTGCTCCAGTCTGATAATGACTCCTCTATCCATATTCTAATTTTAGAAAAGTCTGTTTTTCTAAAGTCTAAAACTTTTGTTTTTGTGTGGTGTGACTCAGTCACTGTTCTTATATTAAACCACACTGACTCATGATCACTGGATCCTAAACTTTCACCTACAGTAACATCTGATACTAAATCTCCATGTATACAAGGCATGTATAAAAACCCTGTGTGTATCATTAAAGCAGTACGTGTTTCATCCTTTTATCAAGACTTAGATGAGGTTTAGGAAAACTGCTAAGCAGCTTATAATGACTCTGGACACCTGAGCTATATGAGGGAGGGAGACTAACAGGGATGCTCTGGCTGAGTCCAGAAGCTCCATTACACAGAGGAAAAAATACAAAGAACAAGTAATCCCTACTTTGTCAAAGTTTATCTTTTGACTGTGTTGGCACTTTAGTGACATTCCAACACAGTCTTAATGAGTATATCCTAAAGATTTCATCTTTATGAAATACTTTTTGAGGGTAAGGGGGAGTGACTGAGCCACTTTATTGTTACAGCCGACAGCAACGGGCAGTCCTCTTCGCATTAGGAAGAGACACTGTTACCAGAATTTCCTCATTCTCCTCTTTGGAATCTATTTTTATCCTATAAACCTGCAGGCAGTGCATAAGATACTAGACTGTGTTGGGTTACTAATTGTGTGATGTTACAGAGCTCCTGGACTTTAGCCAGCTGCTGGAGATGGGAATAGAGGTCCAATGATGGGTAATTGGAGACCTCTCAATGTGAAGTACAGTTTCATCGTAACATGTTGAAATGTAAAAATATGCTGTACAAGCATTTGGCTCATTATTTAGTGCAGCTATAACTGAGAGTCTCCAAGTAATTCCTAAATTTAGTTCCAAAAACCTGTAAATAATGCCTTCTGGAAGCTTCATCCTATTTTTAGATCTTGAACTCTTCACCTGATTCCTGTTTTGTGTTTAGACCAAAAACTCCTGAAATGAAATCCCTCTGTCACTCTATCTTAATAAATCTTTAACAATACTAAACAACGTGTTTATATAGTTACTTATTTGTGTGTGTCTAATATAGATATACCTATACATAGACCTATACATTGGCCCCTCTGCAGTGCGACCTCTACATCTGCTGGTTTATGTAGTGTTTAACCAGCCAGTCGTGGCATAGTATATGCATAGTATACAGACATAGTCCAGCTCGTTAGTTGTTGAAACCACACATTCAAGTTAGTAAGAAATGTAATCTAAAATATTTTGACCGACTGTGGAATGATTGGCAGTCGTGATTAGAAACTTCAGATCTCCTGGGATTTTCATGATCACTAGTCTCTAGGGTTTACAGAAAATGGTGCCAAAAACAATTGGGATATTGTAGTTGTGTGGTTGACAAAAGGGCACTTATAATGGAAATACTAATGGCTACTTCCATCAGGATTAAATGCCATAATACAAAGCATGTGTTTGCTCAATTTTGCTACAAAAATGCAGTGAGTTCAGTGGCCTCTACAGTCTCCAAATTTCAGTCCAATAGAACGCACTTGGAACAGGACAGAACTGGTAGAACAGGAAGATTGCAGAATCATATGCAGCCAACAAATCTGCAGCAACTGTGTGATGCTACCATGTAAACCTTAACCTGAAAAATGTAACAGTATTTATCAGAAAATGCATCCCATAATTTACCATCATGCCTATATTGATCCTGAAATCTAATCAAACTTGTTTCCACTGCCTTTGTTAACTTAAAGGAGCACTATAGGGTCAGGAACACAAACATGTATTCCTGACCCTATAGGGTTAAAACAACCATTTAACCATCCTGGTCCCCTCATGCCTACCTAAATATAGCAAATCTTACTTGTATTCAAGTCTGCAGCTGCTGGCTTTGTCACTGTTTGCTTTAGACCAGCCCACTGTCTGCTGACATCAGCAGAAGTGGTAGCCTGATCCAATCACAATGCTTCCCCAAAGGATTGGCTGAATGGACAAAGAGGCAGATGAGGGGCAGAGCCAGCACAATTCAAACACAGTCCTGACCAATCGGCATCTCCTCATATAAATGAATTGAATCAATGAATCTCTATGAGGAAAGTTCAGTGTCTGCATGCAGAGGGGAAGACACTGAATGTTTGCATGCATTTTAGGCAGCCATGACCCAGGCAGGATCTCTAACAGACATCTGAGGAGTGGCCAGTGAAGTTATCACTAGGCTGTAATGGGCCGAAAAGACAGTGTTTACAGCAAAAAGCTTGAAGGTAATGATTCTACACACCAGAACAAATTCAGTAAGCTGTAGTTGTTCTGGTGACTATAGTCTCCTTTTAATTAAAATTCTTAGTCTCTGGAATTGACTATGGAACCGGTGGTATCCGTTTGTTTCCAGGTTTCCACACCAAGTTTCTCTAAACTACGTTTTACAGATTTGTATATTGGCTAAACCCATAAATATATGCATGTTAGAATTCAAACTCACCATGTCCCAATGGTCCCCCAACTTTTAGAAACAAGCACTCTAAAACCTACAAACAAGGTTTTTATTTTGTTTTTTTTACAACAATTTATTAATGCTTTAGATTCCTTTGGGATATCAACACAAAAATGCTAGTTTAAAAGTATTGCTATGACAATGTGCCACTGTTTAGGTATTGAGATGGAACCTTTGAATGCATAGTAACTCTACATTTTATTGAAATATGAGTGTGTTGGTTATTTGTTTTTGTTTTTTGGTTCACTTAGTTGAGAGAAAGCTTGCAGTTTATGATATGGGTCAATACGGTTACTCCTGCTACTTTCTTTTTGGGGGTATGAACAGAGGAAGAAAACTTTTTTTTTTATATATATATATATATATCTTTATTTAGCTCACATACATATAAAGTTGAATCATTATCTAACAGTCTTTATATGTATATAGAATTGTGTTAGCCAAGCTCTCTTTTGACAAAATTGTATGGGGAGCTGGCAGTGGAACCCAGAGTCTCTACACCATAACCACCATGATGAGCTGTAGTAGTTCTTGTTATTAAAATTATCAGTGCTAAATGTCAAAGCTGTTAAAATTATTCATACTGTGTAAACACCAAGTACAAATGTACTTTAAAAGGACATTTGAAACAAAATTTGTACTATGTAAATGTGGGTGATTTGTAATATTGTAATCTATATTCAGTGTGAGGGGAGGGGGAGGGGTGTGCTACTAAATGTAGATGAAAAGTGCTTCTCTAACAAGCTTTACACTTCTCAGTGGCTCTAGTTTTTGTCAAAGGCACAGCTGGCTTTTTACTAATCTGTTTGCATGAATAGGCTCTTCACATGTGTAGAGTAGATCAAGAAATGCATCCATTTACTTAAAGGCTTCCATTGACTCCTGCTTGTAGTGTGAGTCTCTCATATATTTCTAGAGGAAGACACTGCCCATTAACAATTTAGTTGTGAGAGTTAATGGAAAATAATTACTGGCTGAATTTATTCCATTGCTTTTTATTGGTTAGCAATGTCAAACACAGATTTCTTCAATTATTGGCATCTGTGGAACAAATATTCTCATTGAAGTTAAATTCTGAAGAAACAGATGAAAGAAAAAATGTCAAATTCAGAGAGTGGATTTTTTTTAAAATTTTTTTTGCTCAAGACGTTATTCGTTTTGTAATAAAAATTCTAATCCGCCGTCATTATTATTCATAATTTTGATTTCCGTATTCGTTTCTCCAGTGTGTCAATCAGTTAAGCTTAGGCACACCCTCTTTCTACTCCATTAAGCATTTGATAACTTAATGAAGTTTGTTTGTATTCATTTATTTATTCTTTTGTTTTTCATTAAAGGGACACTATAGTCACCAAAACAACTTTTAGCTTAATGAAGCCGTTTTGATGTATAGATCATGTCCCTGCAGTCTCACTGCTCAATTCTCTGCCATTTAGGAGTTAAATCACTTTGTTTATGAACCCTGGTCACACCTCCCTGCATGTGACTTGCACAGCCTTCCTAAACACTTCCTGTAAAGAGTCATCTAAAGTTTATCCTTCCTTTATTGCAAGTTCTGTTTAATTTAGATTTTCTAATCCCCTGCTATGTTAATAGTTTGCTAGATCCTACAAGAGCCTCTTGTATGTGATTATAGTTACATTTACAGAGAAAGAGATACAATTGTTTAAGGTAAATTACATCTGATTGAAAGTGAAACAAGTTTGTTTGTTTCTCCATGCAGTCTGTGTCAGTCAGTCGAGGGAGTTGTGACAAGGGCTGCATAAACAGAAACAAATTGTATTAACTCCTAAATGGCAGTGAAAACCTGAGAAGCATGATCTACATGCCATGTTCTGCAGATCAGTCTGGTGATGGTTTCCCTTGTGGTTGTCCGAGAGCGCGTTATTGATTCTGGTTATTCTATTTTGGGTTGTTTTCTGGCATCCCTGACTCCTGGCTTTTCCTTATCGTTGTCTCTTTCTGTTTCCCTTGACCTCGACTATTCCTGTCTATTCTTTGGTATGTTAGTCCGGCCATTCTAAGGTCCGGTATCCATTACCTATCAGTCCTCTGTGTTACACAATTTTACGTGCTGGATCATTCTTGGAAATTACCATCAAAATGCAGAGGAGGAGAGAGATAGTTGGTGCCTTGTATACTATAGGCAGAGGTACACAAGGTGGAGGTGAGACAGTAGGTGCAGCCGCAGGTTGCAGATGCGCTGTACGGATAAGAAGCGTACTGTCACGAACGCACCCTACTCCAAGAGTTCGCGTGACGTAGTTGTGGTGGTGAAAGGGTTAAAGTTCACTATTTGTCTGCACTAGACCGGAAATAATGACAAAATCCCCCTTTTAAAACCACCCACACTTAAACATAATAATATAACTATTACTATTTTAACGCTGCCACCACCAAGACAATTTATAAATGGGGTGCCTTGGTCCCCCAGGTAAATCAATAATAAAACCCACCAAATATTACTCAGCACAATATTTAAGGAATTATAAAAATACTAACTAGTCTCTTCAGGTAATGTGATTCTTAAACAGACAAAGGCAGAACTTAAATGAATGTTTATTATGAGCAAAAATTAATCACTGTGCATATAACAATTTATGATAAATTATTTACACCAACAACAGATAAAACCAAAAAGAATAAAATACAGAAGTCCTAATTACTCACTTAGGTTTTTTCAAAGTACAACTTCTGTCCAGGGGGTCTCTGGCAAGGAAAGATGGTGACTCACTCAAAATTAGATCTTGGCCCCAAGCAAGTACACAAACACCCTTCAGGATCACAGGAGATATACCCTGTGAGTTGCCACGCCTCATCCAGGGGTGGATACTAAGTGACCACCTCCTTTGTGCCAGAAAACATGTCACATACAAACTTTTGGTTTTATATCCTCTACTGTACTTGCCACAGAAATAATAATTGCCTCTATGAATTTGTTATTGTTTTCCCATTCCAAAGACATGTTGCACGCCCCGCCCACGATCCAATAGGGCGGACATCACAAGTCCTGCCACACGGTTTAAGTTGTGCAACTCATGTTTGGGCTTAATTAAAAGATTGGGCTTGTCCCATTCCAAATATAATAAAAATGAGGCTTAATTATTAACCTGTGGGCAAGTATGAATGTTTCACTTGGATAAGATACTGGAACACAAGGATCTTCATGAAACTAATCCCATTACAATTTCAAATGATTGAACTATCCTTTACAAGGTACATGACAAATGGATGAAGAGACATTCAGACTTTTTCCAAGTGTAGAACCTCACACCTTGCAGATCCTTGATTACTTCACATCCATATAGTAAAATCCTTTTCACATTGCTATTCCATTCACACTACCCCTTCTGTCATCTGACCTCTGTGAATCCCAGCTTCAAAAGATGTAACACCTGTTGACCTCAGCAATAGCATCTCTGTAATTTGTGCTATTTACTACACAAATTACATTAAAACATGATATTCCATAGTGTAATAATAAATTATACACCCTTGCCGTGACACGTACCATGCGGTGATCATTCTCCTCTAGTTTCCTTTCGCAAGCAGCTATGTACTTACACAATTCTACAGGATATATGGCCATGTCGTAATGTCAGGATTACAGAATCATCCAGCACGTAGAATATTGTATAACACAGAGGACTGATAGGTAACGTACACCAGACCTTAGAATGGCCGGACTAACGTACCAAAGAATAGTCAGGAATAGCCAAGGTCAAGGGAAACAGAGACACAACGATAAGGAAAAGCCAGGAGTCAGGGATGCCAGAAAACAGGGAAGTCAAAAACAATGCCAAAGTCAAATAACCAGAATCAATAACGCGCTCTCGGACATCCACAAGGGGAAACCATCACCAGACTGATCCGCAGAACATGGCATGATATAACTCTACACACACAAACTGCTTCATTAAGCTAAAGTTGTTTAGGTGACTATTGTGTTCCTTTAAAATAACTTCCTTAATGTTTTCATTATTCTTTTACATCTGTACCCTTCCTCACCCCTTTGCATTAAATAGGTATCAATTCATTGAAGAAGCTTTTCAAAGCCAGAAGGTGATAATAGATACTTTGATTGCAAAGTTAATGGAGAAGAACAAATATATCAAGTTTACAGGGGACCAGATTCAAAACAGGCAAGTACAAAGCTTATTTATTTTCTGAAAGAAAGTTTGCTTTTATTTTTTTGTGCAGTCATTCATATTTTAGTAAAACTAATTCTTCAGGACTCTTGCATCCATTTTTGTTAACTGCAGCATTGGGTGAACCTTCTTAAACTGCATTTAGTGAGAGTCTGGATGTAGCTGGAATGTGATGTTATTTGTATGCAGATTGTTCACCACTTGCAATTACATTACCCTTTGCTGCATTGCAGTCTTTTAAAGCCAATGTGTTCTTTCACTTTACGGCAATCCTCGCCTTCATAGATCTATGTATATTGTATCATATAATAGTATAATATTGTGTGTGTGTGTGTGTATGCAAAAGATTTAAGCCGGTATTAAACAAATGCAGCAAAGTTTTTACATTTACTGTTTATTTTTATCAATTAACAAAATGCAAGTGTTGTAACAGAAGAAAACCTAAATCTAATCAATATTTAGAGTAACCACCCTTTGCTTTCAAAACAGCATCAGTGTTTTGTTTTGGTACACTTGCACAAAGTCAGGGATTATGTATTGATAGTCAGATGTAAGATAGTTTACAATACAGGTGCTAATTATCAATGTAATATATAGGTTGAAACACAATCCTTAACTGAAAAAGAAACTGCTGTATAGGAAGAGTAAAGCTGTGTGAGGAACAGCCAAATTCTGCTAACAAGATGACGTTGCTGATGACCGTTTAGTGTCAAAAGTCATACATCATGGCAAAACTGAGCACAGCAACAAGACACAAGGTAGATATACAGCAATAGTAAGGTCTCTTCCAGGCAGAAATTGTAAGGCAGGCAGGGGTTTCCAGGTGTGCGCTCCCAGCACTTCTTAAGAAACCAAGAACCAATAATGTTGAAAACCAATGGCGCACAATAGATGGCCAAAAAAGTTGGCAGTTTGCTTGCTGCCTTACCCTAAAGACCTGCGGAACGGTATTAGCATGAGTATCTGCAGGCAATAATAAAGCATGGTGGAGGTTTCTTGCAAGATTGGGGTACTTACAAATATAAATGTTCTGGTGCTACTATATTGCCAAGTCTAACAAATCAGATAACCCACTTTTCTGCTCCTGAGAAAAAAAAGATATACTCTTCAAACTATCAAATTGCCAGTTAAATTCAATTGTCCTCCAATCCCGTTGTATAGATACTGAACAGTGGTAATATACACTTTCTTGGAATATTCTTTAGTGGCGAAAAACAAACAATGAAACAGGACGTGTGTAAATCAAGTAATACACAAAAATGTATTGTTCAAAATATGCTTACAGGACAGTGTTCATAGCTTATCTCCGTGAAAAACAAGTTAACTTGGACTTGTAGTTAAGATTCTGTCTCCATAAGGTTTCTAACAGGTAAATTCCTCAGACACTTGAGCAATCAGATGTATTTCATCCAAGTCGAGTTGGACTTTGTAAATGATTTTGGTCATCATTAATGTTCTCCTCAATTCTGTGAACTACAGGCATATACTTATCCGTCATGCAATACAAAAACAATCAGGGACGCTTCTGACTGGCCCTGAATTTATTTTGCTGCATGAGAATCAACCCAAACTTACAGCCAAAGTCATTGAGAATGATCTTCAACATAAATAACAAGGAGTCCTGGAAGCCATGGTATGGCCTTCACACAGCTCTTATTTTAACACTGAGTCTGTGTTGGAGTACATAAGGAGAAAAATTCAACAGAGGCTGCCAAAACACACATAGGAATTGTGGTTTGTTCAAGATATCGGTCACAGCTTATCTGCTTACAAAGTTGTATAGTGTACCTAGAAGAATTGATGCTGTTTGGAAGGCAAAGAGTGGTGTTGATTAAAATATTGATTTGATTTCGGTTTTTCTTCTGATCACTCAATTTGCATTTTGTAATTTGATAAAAAAATAAACGAACTTATCTGTTTTTGAAGGCATTCTTCAAAACCCTAGGGTTCCACGAGAACAAAATTGGGGGTTCCGCTGCGATTCACCCATCGGGTGGCCAAGAGCCACTCAATGGTTTTTCGTGAACAGGGGCTCAGTGTGGTGCATTGACCTTGCATTATTGGTTGATGAGAGGAAGTGACTGCCTGTCACTTCCTCACAGCTTCACAGAACGCACCAAGCGGGATGGAGAGAGGCAGGAGGGGATGGGGGGAGAAAACTGCTTCCGACCTCACACCCCAACAGCTAGCAGCACTCCTGCAGACAAAAGGGTAAGCTAACAGGAGGGTGGCTGCAATTATAAACATTATGACTTGTATGTGTATCTGTGTCAAGTTGTGTGTGTACCTGAATGTGTACCTGTGTGTCAGTGTGTGTATATCTGTATGTCAAGCTTTGTGTATCTGTGCTGTGTGTGTGTCACTGTGTATCTGTTAATGTTTGTATGTGGCATTGTATGCGCCAACATCCCAGAAATGAAACACCAACACACCCCTACAAAGACACCCCTGAACTCCAACTCCAAAATTATATATAAACACTCACACACCCTTCACAAAAATGTTTGCAGACTAGTGTGTATGTATATCTATGTATATTTTTAATTTACTTATTTTTTATTTGTTGCATTCTTGTTAATTATCTCTAATGCTTTGTTTTTGTCTATTCTTGTCATAGGATCCTCGAAGTAAACCAAAACCAAAAGCAGGTGGAACAAGATATAAAGGTTGCCATTTTTACATTAATGGTGGAAATCAATAAAAAAGGCAAAGCTTTGTTACATCAACTTGAGGTAACGTGGTTTGTTTTAACCAATATCCTTCTTATTCTTCTTCTTCTTTGTCCACTACCTGAATGTACCTTTCTTGAGCCGGTTTAGTGAGTGGGGAGTCACAATTTTTCTACAGTGAAAGTAGAAAAAAAGAGGAAGATCTACATTTTAATACACTCCTATGATTTTAACAAGAGCCTTATAAGTAAATAAAACCATAATAAAAATATTAAGGGCTGACTGAATAGTAACACTATCTTAAAGAATCATATTGTGTAAAGAGAGGCATAGTTAATGTAACCAATCAAGCTTCCTTGCAAAAAAGGCTGACATAATAACATTGCAACATAACATTGCTTTTTAATAACTGTAATTAAAAAATAAATAAAAATAAAAATATTTATATTCTGTACCCTAAGGCGACTTTAATGGATGCATTTTGACCGTCTGATCTAGTTTTATTTTTAATTTTGTTTTTTAAATGCACCTCAGGGGTGTTCCCTAGATGTGCAAGCAGTCTGCTTTTATGATGCTGATTGCACCTATGTGCTACGCAGCCCTGAATAAGATGCCTCATTTGCTGCTTAAGAAACTCCAACTGTTCCTGAATCTCCTAACTGTTCCTGAATCATCCAGACCTGATGTCATTGTTTTTGATGGCAGACTTAAACATTTGATCCTTCAGAAAAATGTATTCTCTAAAGCTGTAAATAATATCCTTGTTCCAGCTCTGAAAGTTGTCTTCTCATACCTGCCACAAGGTTTGGCAAGCGTATTTAAATTGGTGTACTTTAGATGGAGAATCCTTTTGGGTCGCCAGAGTGCTGAATTTTCTTTTGGCTGGACATAAGGGATTATCAACCAGTACTTTAAATGGTCAAATGTCTTCCCTTTCTCTCCTGTTCCTTTCTGTCGAGACACTTGTTCAGGCTTTGGCCTAAATTCACCTTGTGGTTCAACTTGTAAGTCCTCTGTTGAATTTGAACTTAGTCCTGTCGGTACTTCAGCACTGTCCCTTAGGACTTCTACATAACTTTCAACACTTGATGTGGAAGGTGAAATTTTGTTCTAATTTCTTCCCCTAGGAGGGTTTCTGAGGGTTCACTTCTATTGTTTGCTCCCTCTTTCCTGTATAGCAAGGTTTATTTGCTTAGTTTTATATTATTCTTTCCTAAAGTTGTTTCCACTTTCTCCAAGCTAGGATATGGTTGTACCTTCTTTCTACCCAAAGCCAGCCAATGATAAGGAGTAGGAGCTACTACACTCTATACATAGTATGTGGATGCTGCAAAGCATTTTGTTCACTTTTCAGGGCCTTGTGAAGATCTCAGAGCTTCAGCTGTTACTCTGGAGTTTTGAGATCTGACTGGATTACTGTTCATTCTACTATAGTCCTGGCTACCTCTTGCAAGCATGATATTTCCATAGAACAGATTTGCAAGGCATCGAATTAGTATTTTTGGTACACTTTTGCCAAGTACAGTATATACTCGAGTATAAGTCTAGTTTTTCAGCACATTTTTTGTGCTTAAAAACACCCACTCGACTTATACTCGAGTCACTGTCTGTATTATGGCAACTTAGAGAGCCGCGGCCGTCAGAGCCATGGCAACGATCCCACGGCAACCAGACCGCGAGACTTACAGTGGAGCTGACCGGAACGGAGGAGAAGGGAGCTGACAGGAGCTGCAGGAAAGGTAAGTAAATGCTTCCTGCCGGCCCACCCACTTCACAGCCCATGCCACTGGACCACCAGGGATTAAGATAGCCCCCCTCCCTGACCAGTTAACAAGCAGGGAGGGGGGACAAATTTTTTTTTTAAATAATAAAAAAAATATTAAAATTAAAAAAAATTAAATAAAAATGCCCTCCCCCCACCCAGTTCACACACACTACACAAACACACACTCTGCATTATATACACACTCTGCATTATATAGAGTATGTGTATATAATGCAGAGTGTGTTTGTATGAGTGTGTGTGTGTGTGTGTATATAATGCAGAGTGTGTGTTTGTATGAGTGTGTGTGTATATATAATACAGAGTGTGTGTTTGTATAAGTGTGTGTGTGTTTAATGCAGAGTGTGTGTTTGTATGAGTGTGTGTGTATATAATTATAAAAATCACAGAATTTCATAGCCCCAAGTTTTACCCTCGACTTATCCACGAGGCATAGCATATTTCACAATTGTTGGTCACAAAACTGCACTCGACTTATACATGAGATCGACTTATACACGAGTATATACGGTATATGTTTTATTTTTATTTTCAATTTGTCAGTTTTTATTGGTTTGTATAGGAGGAGGTTACAGAAAGGAAAGGGGGGAGGGAAGAATGATTTCATCATCACAGAATGTATACTCGTACAAGGTAAGAGTATACATTCTGTGATTACATATTCCATGCATACAAGGACATTGTCCCGGCATCTGGTACCACAGTCTGTCCAACACTATATACAGACGCATCGTATAAGTGGCACAATCCCATAGAGAGAGAGCTATACCCATTGTACCTCTCGCTCCACCCTGATGTTTAGTTGCAATCATTTGGTACGTGAACTCCACGAGTCCCACATATCCTGTGTTTTTAGGGAGGTTTGATTAGGGGAAATTGTGTTTTCAAGCCTTCCTCGTATGCGCTCTGTATATCCAGTTCAGTGAGTAATCGTTGGAGATGCAGAGGGTGAAACAAAGAAAACTATATGACCGAACAGGGTGAAGCGCAGACATTGTGATCTATATTGTAACTAGGTGTAATAGGCACAGGTGTGGGGTCGTGGTCCCCGGTCTGTCTGCTATGAAGACTTTGGGGGTTTAACGCAAGAGAGTTAGTGAAGGGTCAAAGGCATTGGTAATGTGCCTGTTAGTAACCATTGCCACATAAAGCCAAACCTGTTCGATTGGGTATCTTGTCCTGTCTTGTCCCATTATTTGACCCAGGGATAACGGTACACTGTTGTTCGACTGCTAATGGGCATCGTCTATTCTAGCCGTCAACTAGTTAAATGGAGGGATTACTTATTGGCATACATGGTAAATAAGTAAAGTCACCCCAATAATGTCCGTGGGACCAAGCTATACAAATTAGTAGTGGAAAACCTCATGTACATGAGTTGTATGGTTTAGCAAGTATGCAGTGTGAGAATATTTATGGGGTGATAAATATTAAAAATATTTTCATCTATGCCCAAGGGCCCAGATAATGGGGAAATACAGGTTGGATAGCTCCTTGACACGCAAAGCATTAGCTGATGACAGACGCGAACAAGTCAAAGCCCATGGGGACCTACGGCAGAATTAGACTGACCCTCCTCTCCCAAACCCCAGACAAACCCCCCGAGTAAAGGCCTCAAATGTACAAACACATAACGACGTAAGACGGGGGAAAAGAAAAAAAAAAAACCCGGCCAACGATACATACAACGTGGGAGGCCAGACTGAAGGCCCTCCCCCTAGACAGATGGGCTATAAGCAACACCCTAAAGGGCAGAACCCACGACTACAACAAGACGGACTAAAACCTCTCCATAAGAACCAACTCCCCCCGCAGACTCCACTGACTTAGTGCGAGCAATTACCGAGCTCTGGCCACCGTAGAGTGACAGACTTGGACCCAGACCAGCCAGACACGGCCACCTACCCCCTAACCAAGGAGGTCAGCTACACGACCTCCAGGTTCACACCTAAGAACGCCTCAATAGTGGTGTTCACATATTGTTTTAAGTTTCTGTTGATCATGTTATGGTTTACAAATGTATGTTTTTTACACAACTGTGTCAGAACAACGCTCTATCACACGGCTAATCCTTCTCTTAGCTACACAACCTGTGCACCCCAAGTTATACAAAAAGCTCCAAAACAGCACATTCAACTTCTAAAACTATAGTATGAAGATTTACACGCACAACATTAGAGGACTGAACACCCCACACAAGAGGCACACCCTTCTTAAAGACTTAAAAAGCACCCAAGCAGACATAATTTGCCTGCAAGAGACACCCTTCCAATGCACCACCAGCCCAGTCCTGGGAAAGGCAACGTAGCCGCACCAGTTTCATGCTACCGCGCCCACAAAACGCAAAGGGGTTTCCATCCTAATCAGCCGACACCTAGCCTTTGACGAAATAACCGTCAAAAAAGACCCACGCGGTAGGTACATCATACTGATCTGCACCATTAATAGCTCTACATACCCAACAGTCAACACATACATGCCAAACGCAAACCAAGGTGGGTACCTTCATAACCTCTTGACGTTCGTAACCTCAATGCAGACAGGCACAACGATCATCTGCGGGGATTTTAATCAGTTCCAAGACCCCGCGCTAGACTCAACGGCGAAACACACACCCCATAGGACCAAGGTACTCCACAGGCAATGCAAGTCCTTAACCAAGCTCCTACAGGCACACGGTCTATACGACGCATGGCGCACAATGCACCCAACCGAGAGGGAATGCACACACTTCTCCCAAGTACACAACACATACTCAAGAATAGACTGCTTCCTCCTACAGAGCGCACACCTGAACCGCGTGGTGGCATGCGAAATAGGGACCTCCGCCTGGTCCAACCATAACCCAGTGGAACTTACATTAGCAGACCATTATAACTACAAAAATAGAGGCCCTTGGAGGCTCAATGAACAACTCCTCAATGACCATCAATTGGTCCAAACACTACAAAAAGACATGCATGCATACTTCCAATCCAACGACACCCCAGACATTACCCTGCTAACCCTCTGGATGGCCCACAAACCGGTCATCAGGGGCATACTAATAAGACGGGCATCCCACCTCAAAAAACAACAAAACTCATACATACAGAACCTTAAAAAGCTACAAGACCTACATAGAGCAAACCAAATTGCTCTCTCCAGGGCCACGCAAGATTCAATCACCGACTTGCAAAAACAAATCAACACCTCCAACTTCCAGAAAGCAAGCTATGCACTGAAAAAATTGAAAGCAACTACCTTTGTCATGGGCAACAGAGCCAGCAAAACTCTGGCCCAAAGACTCAGGGACAAGCAAGCCCAAACCAGAATCCCATACTTACTCTCCTCCCAGGGACAGAAACTGCTCCAACCCACGCAAATCTGCAATGAATTTGCAACCTACTACAGCTCCCTATACAATCTAAAAGACAACCCACAAGTACCCCAGCCGACCCACAGCTCCATCTCAGAGTACCTCCGCAGAATTGACATGCCTAAGCTCCAAACACACCAAATAGCCAGCCTTGCGGCCCCCATCACCACCCTAGAGGTAACACAGATCGACACCATGCCAAAAGGCAAAGCCCCGGGCCCTGATGGCCTCACCAACCTGTACTACACCACCTTCAAGGACGTACTAAGCCCTTACATCACACGTGCCCTCAACCTAGCCACCCAACAGGGAACCTTACCACCTGAATTCTTAGGAAAATCACAGACGATCTGCCCAAATTTTAGACCTATCTCCCTGCTAAATGCCGATGCCAAATTATATGCCAAAATCTAGACGGTTAGGCTCAAAACACTCTTGCCTAGCTTGATCACTACAGACCAAGTGGGATTCGTGGCGGGTAGACAGGGCCCAGACAACTCCCGGAAAGTACTAGACATCCTCCACTACCTCAACCGCTCCAAACTGCAGAGCACGCTCCTATCCCTAGAAGCTGAGAAGGCATTTGACCGACTCAATTGGCATTTCCTTCATGAGGTACTGATGAGATACGGGTTCCCACCAGACTTCCAAAACATGGTAAGAGCCCTGTACAGCACCCCATCGGCCATGGTATTAAATTCGGCGTTTAGCTCTGCCACCTTCACAATTATCAATGGTATCAGGCAGGGATGTCCCCTATCTCCCTTACTATACGTGCTAGCGCTGGAACCATTAGCGATAGCCATCCGAAGCAACCAAAATATTAAGGGGTAAACCATAGGAGACCGGGAATACACACTTAATTTTTTTGCGGATGATATTCTCCTCACACTCTCCAACCCAACAATTTTACTCCCCAACCTCCACAAAGAAATAATGGAATATAGCAAACACTCCTACTACCAATTGAACCTGACCAAAACGCAAGCCATGTGCATAAACCTGTCAAAAACTGAGGAGGAACGATACAAGCTCAACTTCAGCTATGACTGGAGAAACGACTACTTAACATTCTTAGGTGTTAGGCTAACGAAACACCACTCGGGCTTATTCGCCACCAATTATATCAAGCTCCTCAAAGAAGTGGAACAAACGTTACTCATGGCTAGGCCGCATAGCGGCCATCAAAATGACGATTCTACCAAAAATCCTCTACATGTTCCGCTCCCTTCAAATCCCCATACAGCAGACATATTTACAAAGACTACAATCCCTCCTGATTAGATTCAGCTGGGGAGGGAAACACCCAGAGTCCCACGTGCTTTACTAATGCGACACCCGGAGAAGGGCGGTTTGGGACTCCCTAACCTTAAGGCATACTACCACGCAACGCAAATTGCCAACATACTCCATATGCACTCCACCACATACCCCCCCCAATGGATCCCCATCAAAGCAAGTTGCGGAGGACAGACAGACCTCGCAGCAGCTATGTGGACGCCCAGGAAACTGCGTAACACACCCCAGAGCACCTTGCCCACCACAAAACTAGTATACAACATATGGGACAACCATAGGGCCGCATTTTGCTCCGCCAGACCGTGGTCAATGGCAACGCCATTAAAAACGATCGCACTCTACAATAACACATTCCCATATAGAGCATGGCAAGCACATCATCACACACCTACACCAAATCTGCACCGAAAAAGGGCCACTCCCGCTCTTAACACTGCAAACCAAATACAATATCCCAACACAACTTACATTCTCACACT